CTATTTATTATTAGTCCAGTCTATCCATGCTATTATCAGTCCATTTATCCATCTATTTATCTAATCAGTCCATCTATCCATCTATTTATCTATCAGTCCATCTATCCATTTATCTATCAGTCCATTATTCTATATCTATCAGTCCATCTATCCATCTATTTATCTATCAGTCCATCTATCCATCTATTTATCTCAGTCCATCTATTTATCTATCAGTCCATCTATCCATCTATTTATCTATCAGTCCATTATATCTATCTATCAGTCCATCTATCCATCTATTTATCTATCAGTCCATCTATCCATCTATTTATCTATCAGTCCATCTATCCATCTATTTATCTATCAGTCCATCTATCATCTCCATCTATCCATCAGTCCATTAATCCATCTATTTATCTAGTCCATCTATCCATCTATCATCTATCTCTATCATCTATCAGTCCATCTATCCATCTATTTATCTATCAGTCCATCTATCCATCTATCAGTCCATCTATCCATCTATTTATCTATCAGTCCATCTATCCATCTATTTAATCTATCAGTCCATCTATCCATCTATTTATCTATCAGTCCATCTATCCATCTATTTATCTATCCAGTCCATCTATTTATCTATCAGTCCATCTATCCATCTATTTTTTCTATCAGTCCATCTATTTATCTTATCAGTTCCATCTATCCATCTATTTATCTATCAGTCCATCTATCCATCTATTCCATCTATCCATTTATTTATCTATTAGTCCATCTATCCATCTATTTATCTATCAGTCCATCTATCCATCTATCATCCATCTAATCCATCTATCTATCTATATCCATCTATCCATCTATTTATCTATCATCTATCCATCTAGTCCCATCTATTTATCTATCAGTCCATCTATCCATCTATTTATCTATCAGTCCATCTATCCATCTATTCATCTATCCATCTATTTATCTATCAGTCCATCTATCCATCTATTATCTATCAGTCCATCTAATCCATCCATTTATCTATCAGTCCATCTATCCAATCTATCTATCAGTCTCTATTCATCAGTCCATCTATCTATCAGTCCCATCTATCTCTATTTATCTATCAGTCCATCTATCCATCTATTTATCTATCAGTCCATCTATCCATCTATTTATCTATCAGTCCATCTATCCATCTATCAGTCCATCAGTCCATCTATCCATCTATTTATCAGTCCATCTATCCATCTATCTATCAGTCCATCTATCCATCTATTTATCTATCAGTCCATCTATCCATCTATTTATCTATCAGTCCATCTATCTATCATCTATCAGTCATCTATCCATCTATTTATCTATCAGTCCATCTATCCATCTTTATCTATAGTCCATCTATCCATCTATCCCACTATCCATCTATTTATCTATCAGTCCATCTATCCATCTATCAGTCCATATCCATCTATTTATCTATCAGTCCATCTATCCATCTATTTATCTATCAGTCCATCTATCCATCTATTTATCTATCAGTCCATCTATCCATCTATTTATCTATCAGTCCATCTATCTATCTATCAAGTCCATCTATCCATCTATCTATCAGTCCATCTATCTATCATCTATCAGTCCATCATCCATCTATTTATCTATCAGTCCATCTATCCATCTATCTATCTATCAGTCCATCTATCCATCTATTTATCTATCAGTCCATCTATCCATCTATCAGTCCAGTCCAGTCCATCTATCCATCTATTATCTATCAGTCCATCTATCCATCTATTTATCTATCAGTCCATCTATCCATCTATTTATCTATCAGTCCATCTATCCATCTATCTATCAGTCCATCTATCCCATCTATCAGTCCATCTATCTATCTATCAGTCCATCTATCCATCTATCTATCAGGCCATCTATCCACTTCCACCACAAAGCCCACACTTAGCTGATGCCCCCCCCCCCCCCACCCTCCCCCCCTTAGCAGACGCACCCCCTCCCCTCCTCTCCCCCATCCCTTAGCAGACGCACCCCCCTCCCCTCCCTCCCCCGCCCTTAGCAGACGCCCCCCTCCCCCCCCTCCGCCCTCCCAGGCAAGACCCACCTGTCGCGGAAGAACTGGAAGGCCCTCCTGAAGTAGGCCTCGTCGAGCTGCGTCAGGTTGTAGTGCTTGAGGATGTAGGCCGTGTAGTCCCGCCGCCGGACGTGGACGGAGACGACGGTCGTGTTGTCCAGCGGGAAGGGCCACTGGATCCTGCCGAGGGCCTCCTGCAGGTTGCTCCTCGCCTGCGCCAGGACCTCCTCCCTGAACGCCAGCACGCCCCTGACGAGGCTCCTGTGGGCCATGATGACGTCCCGAGGGCAGGGGTGGTGGTAGATGTAGTACGACCTGCCCATGAGGCGCGTTCGGACGACCCCCGACGACTTGGACGACGCCGCCCGGGACTGCAGCAGGAGGTAGAGGTCGTCGTAGGTGATCCTGAGGGTGTCCTTGGTGAAGCACTCGGGGTCCTGGATCGGCAGGCTGACGTTGACGAAGTACCATGACAGGACTTCCTTCATGCGGGGCGTGATGGACACCTGGGGCAGGAGGGAGGAACGGGGGAGGGGGAGGAGGGAGGAGGGAGGGAGGGAACGGGGGAGGGGGGAGGGAGGGAACGGGGGAGAGGAGAGGAGGGAGGGAGGGAGGGAGAGAAGGACCATTATCATTATCACTATCGTTATCAGAATATAAAAAGAATATCTAAATCAAACATGAATACATACAGAGCGAATACACAAACGAACAGAAAATAAATAAAAGAATGAACCATAATTGATTTTTAAAAATATACAAAATTAAACAAAACCCCTACTGTATATATACATACATATCTATATCTATATCTATATATACCTATATATATGTGTGTGTGTGTGTGTGTGTGTGTGTGTGTGTGTGTGTGTGTGTGTGTGTGTGTGTGTGTGTGTGTGTGTGTGTGTGTGTGTGGTGTGTGTTGTGTGTGTTGTGTGTGTGTGTGTGTGTGTGTGTGTGTATGTGTGTGTGTGTGTGTGTGTGTGTGTATGTGTGTGTGTGTGTGTGTGTGTGTGTGTGTGTGTGTGTGTGTGTGTGTGTATGTGTGTGTGCTGTGTGTGTATGTGTGTGTGTGTGTTGTGTGTGTGTGTGTGTGTGTGTGTGTGTGTGTTGTGTTGTGTTTGTGTTTGGTGTGTGTGTGTGTTGTGTTTGTGTGTGTGTGTGCGTGTGTTCGTGTGTGTTCGTGTTCGTGTTCGTGTTCGTGTTCGTGTTCGTGTTCGTGTTCGTGTTCGTGTTTCGTGTCCGTGGTGTGCGTGTGCGTGTGCGTGTGCGTGTGCGTGTGTGTGTGCGTCTGTCGGTCTGTATGTGTGCGTGTGGTCGTGTGCGTGCGTTCTCTCACCCGAACCCCGAAGATATGTCGCAGAAGGTACAGGCTGATGTACTGACACATCTTGTTCCCCAGTTGGCCTCCCGCGTGCATGACAACGTGAGGCTCCTTGCAGTCTGCAGAGAAAACAGGATACACAGATTATTGATGTATATTTCTCTTTATTATTTGTTTAGTTCGGGTGTTTATTGTACTCATTGTGCTATTTTCTTTTGTTTGATCAGGTTACTTACTATAAAAGTTGAGTAAAGTATGAATGTTTGTATCTAAATTGTCTACTATAGCGGCCTTTGTCAATAGATAATTCAATATCGTAGTTTTGTCCGCTTTTCATGAATCAAGTTTATATTGATTGATAGCAGGGTTATGAAGACATGAGGGAGCTGAGGCAGAGGTAGAGAGAGAGAGAGAGAGAGAGAGAGAGAGAGAGAGAGAGAGAGAGAGAGAGAGAGAGAGAGAGAAGAGAGAGAGAGAGAGAGAGAGAGAGAGAGAGAGAGAGAGAGAGAAAGAGAGAGAGACTGACAGAGAGAGACAGACTGACAAAAAGAGACAAACAGACAGAGAAATAGTGAAGATAAAATCAGGAGAGAACTATCCATTACTCGTTTGCCTTCAAATCATCAAGCTTCCCGCACACTATTATCCTATCTGGACACACACACACACACACACACACACACACACACACACACACACACACACACACACACACACACACACACACACATATATATTTTTATTCTCAGTGAGTGTTTTTGTTCTAGACTGAATTTGATCTGTGTATTGTATGTATGTATGTATGTGAGTGCGTGTACGTGTGTGATTGCGCGCGTGTGTGTGTGTGCGTACGCTCATGTACATGTATTGTATGTACGTGAAGGGCCAAACATCCCTGGCCATCCACTTTCATCACTAAACGTATCGACAAGTCTATAGAAAACGGGCGTAATCAACACTTACATCAAAATTTACACTATCACCCAACTCAAGATCTGATTCCCCCCCCCCCCCCCAAGGCCACACTCCCACGATATATTTGTCTAAATTACACCTTTATAGCCCTGGTCGTAACTCAAAAATGTTCCTGGAATAGCTCATGTCCACGACCTACATCGACTGAAGAGATTTTTTATGAATGTATCGTTAATCATACAATCTAACTCTTTCTACCTGTTTTTCTGTTCTTTTTTTATCTTTCTTCTTGTTTCTCTTTATTTTTCTCTCTTTTTGTTCACATTTTGCTTCTCCTTTTTCTTTATTATTCATTTGTCCCTTTATCCTTCTTTCTGTTTCTCTTTTTATCTTTCTTCTTCGGCTCCCTTTTCTCTTTTTCCTTCTTGCTATGTCATTGTTATCCATCTTTTACACCTTACTTCTCTCTCTCTCTCTCTCTCTCTCTCTCTCTCTCTCTCTATATATATATATATATATATATATATATATAATATATATACATATACACACACACACACACACACACACACACACACACACACACACACACACACACACACACACCATATATATATATATATATATATATATATATATATATATAGAGAGAGAGAGAGAGAGAGAGAGAGAGAGAGAGAGAGAGAGAGAGAGAGAGAGAGAGAGAGAGAGAGAGAGAGAGAGAGAGAGAGAGAGAGAGAGAGAGAGAGAGAGAGAGAGAGCAAGGAATAGAGCGATATAAAAACCAATAGATACTTTCGAATGATGAAAAAAAAAGAGAGAAAGTAAGGTGAAAAAGAAGGATAATCGTGCTGAGCGGTATACCTCACCAAACCTTGCTTGCCAATGGTCTATGAGCGGAGGAGCAGCTTGGTTAGACTCTGAGAACCCAGGGTTGTGGAGGAAATGCCCCCCCCCCTTCTTCTCACTTGAGCACCACCGGTTATTGTCTGTCCTTAACAAGCGTATGGTTGTTCATGACATAAGGGCTCTAGGTATCCCTGCTGTTATAGCAAAGACGGATGGCTAGTTTAGCTACCAACGGCATCCTTGAGGTGGACTCTGAGTTGTAGCCATAGTTGTGTGCCCAACATTCCTGAATTCAGCCACCTCCCTATTGTAGGAAGGCACAGCCCTGCAGTTCTTGTTTTCCTTCCTTTTTCATATTTTCTTTCTTACTTTCTCCTTTTCTTATTACAGTCATCATATCAAATTTATGGTTTTGTTATTCTTATGTGGAATTGTTGTTTTGTCTGGTGATGTTGAGCTTAATCCTGGTCCTAGCTGTTCAAAGTATTGTAACTTACTCTTTAGTAATATTTGTGGACTTTATGGGAATTTGAATTAACTTGCAATTATCTCGACTAAATTTGACATTATTTGTTATAGAGAAACACTGGTTTCAGACATGAGGCACACATAACAGTTGCTTTTACCACAGCTTATGTTGGTGCATGAAAAGCAGTCTGCTTTAGATAAGGGTCATGAGTCAAGACTTGTCTCTCTGGATTTTAGTGCAGCTTTTGACAATGTTAATCACAAGGGTTTAATTCTCAAGTTACAGTCTGTTGGTGTCGGTGGTAAAGTTTTAAGTATTTTAACTGATTCTATTAACTGGTAGGCAGCAGTACGTTCACGCTGATGGTAGTTTTAGCTCATATTCTCGTGTGTCTTCTGGGGTTCCTCAGGTTAGTGTTCTTGGCCTTTGCTCTTTATTTTATAAACAAGCGATATGTGGTCTGATATTACTAATAAAATGTTGGCATATGCTGATGATACTTCTCTCTATGCTGATATTCCTTCTCCGGCAACTAGGCAAATAGTAGCTGACAGTCTCACTGTAGACCTGATGATGATTCAATCGTGGTGCTCTCGGTGGGACATGAAATTAAATCCTACTAAGTCTAAGGAAATGATTGTGAGTCTCGAATGCAGTTCCCTCAGCATCCAAGTCTGGCGATTGATGGAGTCTTAATCACTTCAGTGGATAACCTGAAGCTCTTAGGTGTAACCTTTGATTCAAAGCTTACATTTGAATTGCATATTAGGAATATGGCCCAGGCAATTTCATTCGCAAGTGCAAGAAAATCTATGAAAAATTACTTGTAGATGCTTCCTTTTTATTCTGCCTCATTTTAAGTATTGTTCTCCTGTGTGGTTATCTGCTGCAGATTCACACTTAAGACTGCTTGGTCGTTCTGATAATAATGATATAAAAAATAATAATAACAACAACAACAATAATGATAATAATGGTAACTAATAATAATGACAATAATAATAACGACAGCAATATAATGATACTAAGGACAATAATAAAAATTATGATACTGATGAGTGATAATGATAATAACAATAACACGAATAATAATTTAATGTAAGTGATGCTGAAATATGCAGAATATGGCTTTAATGGAAATGTGTTTAATGTTTGTTACCATGCATGTCGTTTTATTTTTCTATAGTAAACAAATCTTTTGGATATTTTAAGCAATTTTTCAGATTTTTCTTCCGTGATTAAAGCCAATAATGTGTTGTTTAGAATTATAATGAATCAGAAATCCGTTGTTAATTCTTCGTCTAAGGTGATAGTGTTTTGTACATTTCTTCGCTAAGAGAGACTAGTATAAAAAAAAAAATGGACCAACGGACCCTCCTTCCAAAAATAAAGTTGAATAACTTTAAAGATTTTTTTCCTGTTACTGTAGTTGTGTTTCTCTGTACCAGATCGATTAAGAATCCATATATCTGACAGTTCAATGAAAAGGTGCATTTAACAAGTTATCTTTTGCTAGTTCTCACTGATTAAGTTAGCTGGTGTTTCCATATTGCTCCGCGCTTGATAAACCTTGAAATGATTATTCACGAATGATTTAATATGTCTCATGTTTGCAAGTCATGCAAGCCCTAATATTCAGCGAGTCTTTTACTTAGGCAGATGCTTATTTTACAGAAGGAGGTGTTTTAAAGCTTTCCCTAATACGGTATTTTAGGGACAGGATCATCTAAAACAGAAACACGTACCTTCCTGAGGAACGGGATCGATGTGGAAGTTCTTCGGCAGAGGGAGACAGTTAGCCGATTTATTAATCCACTCCGCTACGGATTTCGGCTTCGATGTGGCTGACTTTTGGGCGCTCGTCTGTCGTGTTGTCAGTGTTGTCAGATTCGATTTTCTTTCGGAGGTTTTCTCTACAACTTCTGGAGGCTTGAGGGTTTTCTCTGGTGTCTTTGGGGGTTCCGGTTTGCGTTCTGGAGGCTGTGGTACGTTCTTTGGCATCGGAGGAGGAGGTTCTGGAGGCGCAGGAACTTGTGCTTGTGACTCCGATGGTTCCAGGGTCTTCGCCGGTGGTTCAAGGACTTTCCCCTGTGGTTCTGGAGGCTGTTGGACCTGCGCTTTTACCTCGCCCTGCCCCTGGATTTGTCTAGGTTTCTCGTCCTTTCCGCCGTACGCTCCCATGAGGGCCTCCTCCGCGTCAGACAGTGATTTCTTCCCAACCGCCTTCTCGCTATCATCTTTAGCTCCCGCCTTGCTATGTTGGGGGTTCGGGTCTTGTCTCACCTCGAGGACGAAACCGTAGAAGTTGACCACGAACACCAGGGACAACGTTGAGATCAAGAGCAACGTCGTGAACAGGCGGTGGAGGTTGCAGCGATTCCCTACCATTGTCGCGAGGGGGTTGTAAACACGGTGATAGTTATGTGGAAAGGCCGTTTTTTAAACCTTTTTACACCATAATCGTCTATCCCAGTTCAGTTCAAGGGACGTTACACATTTTTTCTACTTAATATTGTGTTCACTGACCTTCAGAAAGATATATTACTGATGGGCGGGTGATTTCACATTTCAAATTTCCTGTATGGGAGTTTGTTATTACAGCTGACAGCATTCAAGAGAGAATTTTTATCAATTTAAATCGCTATACTTTTTTTGTTATCACTTTTACTGGTTTTCGTTGTGACTGTTCATGGTGTTCTTATTTTGAATATTTGTATGAATATCAGAATTATCGTTTTGATTGATGTTATCAGTGATTATTATCATTCTTTCGTTCATATTTTGGTTGTGAATGCTACTCTCATTATTTCTGCTTGAAGTTATTTTTTGTTTTTTTTTTATTTTATTACAAATTAGGATTTTTTTAATTAAATTTTGATGATCTGGTTTTTTTTTTTTTTTTTTTTTTTTTCAAGAGATTCATTAAAATTGCAAGATATGGACAACTTCAACTTTTTGGCGCTTGGATTATTAGTAGTATTAGTATTATAATAATTTTATTATCATAATTATTATTATAATAATGATTATTAGTAGTATTACTATTATCAATATCATTATTATTACTTTATTATCATCATTATTACTATTATTATAATAATAATTAATTATCAATATCATTATTATTACTTTATTATCATCATTATTACTATTATTATAATAATTAATTAATCATTCTTATGTAAATCACCAAGTGCAAATATTCTTATTGCATCAGTGACCCCATTGCCTTGGCCGAGGTATGCGCGCTCCAAGTGCTTCTAGATATTATTGCAATCATCTTCATTATCATCATTATTAACAAAAGAGGCAATATATCAGTAATATTAGTAGTTTCTGTATTAGTTTCGTAAAATATCATCATATCATCATTATCATTGTTATTATCAATTATCATCATCATCATTATCATCATCATCATCATCATCATCATCATTATTAGCAACATTATTGTCAGTATGATAACAGCAATAATAATGACGTTGATGAGGATGATGATAATGATAAAATTAACAATGATTATAATAATTAGTAATTGTAATAATGGTAATGACAATGATAATGGATGATAATGATAGTAACTTTAATAATAATAATAACTATAATGATGTTAAAAAAATGATAATGAATTAAAATGATAACAATGACGATTATAATAATGATGATAACGATAATGATGATAATAATGATTTCAACGATGATAATGATTATAATAATAAAGATGATTATGATAATACTAATAATAACAATAATAAATCTAATGATAATAATAATGATTATGATAATGGTGAATATAATGATAATGATGATAATAACGATAATAATAAAGATAAGTGATAATGATAATCATTATTATCATAATGACCATGATCATAAAAATGATAATAAAATGATGTAATGATGATATAGATGATGAGGATGATAAAGATAATACCGATAATAATAATGATCATAATAAGGATAATAATAATGATGATAGCAACAGGAACAACAAAAATAATAAGAACAATAATGGTAATAGTAATGGTAACGATGCTATTAATAATTGTTATCACTGTTACTACTAGTCATTATGTATTCTTATTAATCTCGTCATCATAATCATTAACATTATTGTTCATTAAGTATTTTTATTAATCTCGTCAATATTGATATCATAATCATTAACATCATTGTCATCGATAACATTATTAAATTACCGATTACAAAGATTTCTCTGAAGAGATTAAAAGGCCTAATGAAAATTAATTTTGTTACTAAAGAAAACGGGAAAATGGCGCGTTGGAATTCTGGTAACACTGCTCAAATTATCTTTCGAATTACGGAGAGAAACTTTTCTTTTCCTTTTTTTCTTAATCGTTTTCTTGCAAAAAAAGTTTTACAACACTTTATTATTTCACACTTCTTTAAATTTTACTAGGTTTTACTAATTCACACAATTTTTCTATTGGCTAGCTTTACTATTTTTTTTCTCAATTTTACAAGACTTCACTATTTCACAATCCCTAAACACAGGTACAGTTAATCCACCATTGATCACAAGCCTAGAAAGAAATACTGGAGTCCCATCACTGTTAAGGTGCCGTCACACTAGTACTTTTTCCGTCAATTTTTTTACAATTTTCTGAAATTTTGTCCATTTTTGAGCGAATTGTCGATTCTCCAGTCAGACGATAATGATCGTTTCCGTTTGAAAACCTTTCCGTCAACTTTTTCAGCCAAGCATAGTCAGATCAAGAGCTATATTCGAGAATGTTTGTATTTATGTTAAATAAAATTGTCAAAAAATTGACGGAACAAGTGCTAGTGTGACAGCACCATTAGGAATTTGAGGCTTCGTGAGTGTGGACGAGGTAGTAGATTCGCGACGGTACCCAGTTCCTCTCTTCTCATTTTTGTTTTCTTCCGTTTCAAGACCTTCGTGGTTGTGAGTCTTTATATCTACCAGTTTTTACTCAGTTTCATTACTTCTTTCAGTCTTCATTTATTTATTTTCCTTCTTTCTTGCTTTATTCATTTTCCTTCTTTCTTTTTATTTATTCATTTATTCAGGCAGTACGTATTATGGTCATCTCCACTGACCCTTTTCCTGCGATTTCTTCCATCCGTCGACAGTAAAGTGTGCGGAAAAAATGGAACACAACCCATAAAAACAACTTTGTAAATGAATGAATGATAAATAAATGAATAATCAAGCAAATGAATAACTGTAAAGATGAATAATTGATAAAAAAAGGTCTGTTAAACACGTCGTTTCGAGTTAAATTAGACAGCTCTTCATTCGGAAACAACAAAACATTAAATTTTCTTCTTTTATCAAGTTCCCACACAATAAAATCACTTATTTCTCCTTCTCGATTTATGTATTTATTCCACGACCGTCTATGCATCTCAGTAACACCCCCATTGAACAGTGATAACGCCGAAACAACAGTACTGAACGCCATAACAAGGGTTCCGGTATAAATAAAGCGCATTTTCTAACACTATAGTCATACCGGAGTGAGAGGAGGAACTGGACAGACTGACGGACCGAAAAAGCTATACAGAGCATGTGTGTGGACCGAGTGTGGGGGGGGGGGGTCAAGGTGAGGGGATAAGGGGGAGGGGGGGCATGTGTGGAAGTGAGGGAAATGGGGTAAATTGATGAAAAAGGAGAAAGGGTATAGAGAATAGGGGCGAGGAGAGGGGAAATATCTGAAGGGGGTTTGGTAGAAGAAGAAGGGGGCTGGAAAGGGAAATGAAGAAAGTTGGAGAGAAACGAAAGAACACTGAGATATATATAAGGATGAGGAGAATGTTGAATGGAGAAATGACAACTGTGATTGAAAACAAAGAAAGATTTGAAAACAAAAACGAAAAAAAAGAAGAATGAAAAAAAAGGAAAACGGGGAAAAGAGAAATTACAAAGAAAGGGGAGGATGCAACGTACACTTAGAAGAGGGGGAGAAGGGGATACCTATAGTGGAGAGTGGGAGGGGGGGGTAGAGGGGGGAGGTATGGTGGGTGTCTCGACCGCAACGATATTTAACCTCATTACCATAAAATATGACAGACAGGTGTTCACAAGCTCGTGCGTGATCTTGTAATGACCAAGAACCACAAGTTTGAATTTTAGCTCATGTCCACCTCAGCTGCCTAGTCGAAAATCAGCATGTAAGGTCCAAAGGCCAAAGAGTAGCACAGAAAAGGCGACCGAAATGGCTGTTTTTCTTCTTCCCCCCACTTTCACCGAAAACGTCTGCACACTTTCACCGAAAACGTCCGTGGACTTCCCGGCCCACACTTTCACCGAAAACGTCCGTGGACTTCCCGGGCCACACTTTCACCGAAAACGTCCGTGGACTTCCCGGGCCCACACTTTCACCGAAAACGTCCGTGGACTTCCACACTTTCACCGAAAACGTCCGTGGACTTCCGGGCCCACACTTTCACCGAAAACGTCCGTGGACTTCCCGACACTTTCACCGAAAACGTCCGGACTTCCCGGCCCACACTTTCACGTCCGTGGACTTCCCGGGCCCACACTTTCACCGAAAAACGTCCGTGGACTTCCCGGGCCCACACTTTCACCGAAAACGTCCGTGGACTTCCCGGGCCCACACTTTCACCGAAAACGTCCGTGGACTTCCCGGCCCACACTTTCACCGAAAACGTCCGTGGACTTCCCGGCCCACACTTTCACCGAAAACGTCCGGACTTCCCGGGCCCACACTTTCACCGAAAACGTCCGTGGACTTCCCGGGCCACACTTTCACCGAAGTCCGTGGACTTCCGGCCCACACTTTCACCGAAAACGTCCGTGGACTTCCCGGGCCCACACTTTCACCGAAAACGTCCGTGGACTTCCCGGGCCCACACTTTCACCGAAAAGGACTTCCGGGCCCACACTTTCACCGAAAACGTCCGTGGACTTCCCGGGCCCACACTTTCACCGAAAACGTCCGTGGACGATGGCGAGAAGATGAGTTGCCAGTTCTCGATTTTAGAAGTTTAATATTCATGTGCAATGATGATAATATACGTAAATGGAATTAACTTTCCTACCACTACGGACGGAAAACAGACCTTTATGTTAATCTATTTGTATGGTAAAAGTGCGTGGAGATTTCTTTTGCCATGCTCAAATGAGTGGAGTGAAAAAAAAAAAATGTTAAAAGTGATGAAACAATATGAAAAATGAAGATGAGAGTCTCATGTCCCCTTCTCCTCTCTCCCCCCCCCCCCCCCGCCTCTCTTAGTTGCAGTTAGGTATTTTTCTCGAAAAGGAAAAGCGAGATTTGGGAAAAGGGTATTTTCGCGTGGCTGAAAAAAGTTAAGTACACAACCTGCAAAATTATTCGAATATCTTCTCTCTCTCTCTCTCTCTCTCTCTCTCTCTCTCTCTTCTCTCTCTCTCTCTCTCTCTCTCTCTCTCTCTCTCTCTCTCTCTCTCTCTCTCTCTCTCTCTCACTCTTCAACAATTTCTCTCATTGCATATACACGCGTGTGCATCATGCATATACTACATACATGAGTATGAGTCCGCACGTTTTAACATAATTACATGTACATACCATAAGCACTCAGAGGGCGCATACCTCCGCCATGGCAAAAGGGTAAGTAGTGCAATAATGATATTCATACTTGAAGAATTACACTAAAATCACCTCTTTCTCAAGGGGTAAGTAGTGCAATAATGATACGTACTTGAAGAATTACACTAAATCACTCTTTCTCCACTTTCCGCATAACCTAGATGGTAATGATAATTATGATACCACTATTACCAAAGCAATGGGGGTAATTATGCAAGTCTTTTAAAAATTCCTGCATCCGGGTCATCACTAAATTTTAATGGCGTCTAATGTAGGCCAAGGCACACCTCTGGTAAAAAAAGAATAATAAAAAATCTGTTCATAACTTTTTGAGTTCTGGTAACCAACAAACTAACTAACCAGCGCTACCAAACGCATAAAAGTCGTTGGTGGAGGTAATATTACGTATGGACGCATGGTGTGTGCAGTGCGTTGGGGTATATACCTGTCAGTCCTCAATTGATTATTAGGTGACGTTGCATCTCACCTTTGACAATATAAACTCAAAAATTACTTTTTATGTTTATAATTGAGAGGTGGAGGGGGAAAAGGGAGAGTGACTAGAGGAAGGGAAGGGAGGAGAGAGAAGGAGGGAAAGAGAAATAGGAAGAGAGAGAATAAAAAGGAAAAAAAATCAAGGGGAAACGAGCGTCCCTAAAAAAATGAAATACTGAAAACGAATGAAAATGATTTTCTTCCAAACTTTTAATCTAAACGGATCATTACCCAGAAAAATGTTATGAATAGATATTTTGCTTTTTATTAAAATACTCCCCCATCTGGTCCGCTGGTCAGACTCCGTGTCCAACACTTGCTTCTAACAGATGTTCGTTCAACGGAAAATGAATATTAATGTTTTTAAGGTTCATTTTCTTTTTTTCTGTTACTGAACCCTTCTTAATCGATATTACAAACTCCATTACAGAATTATTGTTTTGGATTGGTTGTTTGTGCTAACTGGATAGATTTTGGAAAGAATAAGGAAAGCCTTAGATGATACATAAATATTCGAAAATATTTATCATTTGCACGCTGTCACAAGTAAAAAATTGTAATTCCCTGATTTAAGTTGCGCACTTTTCCTTCCCTGGGGCACTAAATAGATAATAAAGGGATACGGGCTCCAATATTTATCTTACTCTTCTCTCTCTCTCTCTCTCTCTCTCTCTCTCTCTCTCTCTCTCTCTCTCTCTCTCTCTCTCTCTCTCTCTCTCTCTCTCTGTGTGTGTGTGTGTGTGTGTGTGTGTGTGTGTGTGTGTGTGTGTGTGTGTGTGTGTGTGTGTGCATACATATGTGTGTCTGTCTCTATATACATACACATATCCAAGCATTGCATATGCATGTGCATATATATGTTACGGGGAATATGTGAAACCAGGGATTACACATAAGCCCTGAAATCTTCAGGAATTTCATGTAATCTGTGACCATGTAATATTATCTCATAGTTTCCTGCAGATATATTTTACCATTAGAGGTCAATGTATTTGTATGGTATTATACAAACTGATCTATGGATATATCTTTTTCTTTATTTAGATATCACGTAATCACTATATTTGCCAATGGTCACAGCGATTACGTGAAACCCCTGAGTATTTCAGGGTTTACGTGTAATCCCTAATTTCATGTATTCCCTGTAACATATATACATATACATATGCCTGTATCTTATATATTCGAAAGTGAACCCAATACTACCTAATTATGTAATCTTTGCACATGAATCTATCCATTCCAGCCGCTCTCCGTCGCAGTCGTCCGCTCGCTCGGTTTAGTATCCCAACCGCCCTGTGATCGTAAACAAAAGATGGAGTCTCGGCCGCAGGATGGAGGCGGAGAACATTAAGGTTTCTGGCCTCCTAAGGGACCGGAATGTGCTGCTTTTATGCGTTTTCGTGACTTTTCTGAGCATTGTGGTCTCTGCTCTAGTCAGGTGAGGATGGGGAAGGGCCTGGGTGGTGGGCGTGAGGGCGTATGGAGGAAGTGGTGTTTATGTGGAAATCTGTGTCATTGACGTTTGGTTCGTGTGGGTGTGTTTTTGTCTGTTTGTTTTACTTGTGTGATATATCACGCTGAATACGTGGAGGATTTGGTTTTTATATTTGAGGTCCCATATTTTTTTATCATATGGTCTTTTGAGGTCTATGGGAAGTGGATCTCAATTTGTTGCTTAGCATCTGATGTAGAAATATTAGTTGTCTCTTGATTAATTAAGTGTATTATGAGTCACAAACTAAGTTAAAAGTATGGTAATGTTAGATAAATATTGATACAAAAACTCCATGTTGATGATACTAGGAATTAGTATTGTAATACATATTATTACATATGGATTACATATGGTACATTCCCTCCAAATGTTGGATACCAAACCTTTCGTGTTAAGTGTATTTGCAGGCCAACCAACCTCCGCCACATATATTCTGTTTTTTTTGTAATGACAATGACTATCATTGGCGATTTGTAAGGTCAGGTCTGTACAGAAATGCGTGATTGAGGTTTCTAGTCTTTCCCAGTACCAACGAGTGTGGAATTTAGAGGAATCAATTGCTACTACATTATTACTAAGATGACAGGTATAATTGTTTTCTGTAGATAATACGTAACACATCTGGACAGTATGCATCACAATCAATTTATCAGTACCAGAGTTGTTGGTATCGGTGATGGAGGCCTTTACTGATTAAATGTCAAAATATGTTAACCTTTTTGTCTATTTTGTCAAATGATAGATAATATATGCAGTGTTATTAAATGAATATGAAAAGCTCAAAATTTACAGAAGTAGTAATATCCAAAATTATTGGTAGATAATGGTATATAGTAGGCCTAATTCTGTTGTACTGATATCTTTTAAATGATTTTTGATAATCATAGTAATATATTGACACAAGAATATTGTGTAGTATTTATTTCTTTTATAGGCTTCAGTTTCTATGTAGATAGTTAATGATATACCTACCAACAATGGTTTGATAATGGTGTACCTAAACACACTGATATGAAAAATATTTACCAGCACACAAAGGTATGATAATGGTTTGACTACACACAGTAGTATGATAGTGGTTTAGCTACTATACCTAAGACAGGTATAGTTGCACATTTTTTATATTACTTTCTTTCATTTCTCAGTAACATTTCCAAATCAAATAATGAATGATGTGGAACATAGACATCTTGTTTGAACTTAAACCAAGTAAGTTAGTAGCTCATTGGTAGAAAAGGCACGGAATGTACAAAGTAAATCAGGGTTTTATTTTATAGGCGTACAGTTGCAGTATTTACTATTTTATATTATATAAAGATGAGATCCGTCTCTCATATTTCTTTCTGTATATTTATCATTATTGGCAAGTTTTTGCATTATTAATCCTCACCCGATATCCATGCCAAAATACTGTCAATTATTTGTGTGCCTAAGAAAACATATTTTATCCTTTGTAGTAACAAAATTGTCAAATAAGAGATGAATGTATAAGAGAAAATGTTCAATTTCAGTGGCTTGAACAGAATATTGCAAGAGGATTTATCTAAATATCTGATGTTTTAATTTTGTATGATAATGATGATTATTCAGAGAAAGGATCAAAAGTGTTAATGATTATTCTGATGTCAAATGCCTTACTTTTTCAGATACTATTACACTAGATTAGAGGAAGAATTTCATGATGCTCCTATCTATGTGGATAATTGTTATTAAATTTCTTTTTACTTTGTAGTATTTTCTTTCTCTCATGCAAAGTTGAGAAGCCATTAGGTGTTGGAATGGTATATATATCAAATAGTTCATACTTTTTTTTTCCACTCTAACCATAATGTTTTTTGGTGTACCTTTTCTTTTTCCCATATAATAAAAAAAGAAAATCTTTCACAGTCTTCTTGTAGGAGCCCTGCTAATCCTGTCCTTCATCAGCGGGTTAATTCTACCTGTCGTCATATTCAGGTTTGTCCTGTGATTCTGTTTGGAAGAACTTTCATTGTGGTAAGGAAACAGGGGTGATAGTAAGCAATTCTTAGAATAAGTTTCACTTCATATTTGTGTTTTGTATGGATTTATGACATTTTTTCCCATTTATTGTTTTTTTTAGAAATACTCTCCAGTTTTTACTCTGTAGGTAACCTTCAGTCAGAAATAAGTCTAATAGTCTTGTAAGATAATTCAGAAGCCTCAGATTTCCAAGTTTTCAACCTATGATTCCTTTTGAGCCTAATCCTTTAAGACTGATCTAATTGCACCCTTGCTTTACAGTGAGGGGAAGCAAGTCCCTAACCTCTTGGCCATTTTTACTGGCCCAGAGAACTCAGGTGCAAAGGGGGAAATTCCGAGGTCATGCTCTGTGTGCGGGGGGGAGCGCTGTCAGAGGCAGCACCCAGTACCTGCCGTGCAGGTCTCGGCTCATGCACATGTCAACTTCGCTGTTCCACAGAGCATAGACGAGGCTTTGGAAGAGGTTTGTTTGACTGGTTGATTCTCAAGTCAGAGTTTCGTGATGATATGATTTTTAAAAATAAAAGTTTCATGTCATTTCAGACCTTAGTGTTTACTTGAAAATATAAGTCATTTTTACATCTGTTATAGAGAGGTAACCATTTTTCATTCAAGTTTTATATTTTTTTAACAAGAAGTAAGCCATTTCAGTAAAAACTAATTTACTTACTAACCAACTTCATTTTCTTTGCAGTTGTTGAACCTAACACTGGACCACCATGTGTACAGCTGGTACCGAGAAATTTCTATTCACGACCAGCTCGCTGATGAGATTCGCTACATCATCAGATATGCTGTTGCTTCCTTGGCCAGCAGACTCTCAAAGGTATGTAGAGGGTTTCCTTGTTGTGGCCGTTATATTATGAAATTTGTACTACAGATGCAAATATGTAAGATGAGACTGAAATATAACACAAAACAAAATAATTTTCAGGCATATTGTGTAAGCAAACGTGAAATTTGATATGTCCTTAATGTTTAAGGCTGGAACGTAAATCTCAAAACCCTTCTAGGCCAATAATCATTACAGCTACACTCTTGAGACTAACTGAGATACATATCTGGGTTTCCCAGAATTATGTTATTAGGAACTGATATTATGTATCCATGAATAAAATTTATTGTGTTTCATAGCTGCAACTAGTAGAATTATGTAATCTTTTTTTTTTTTAATGAATTTCTGTTCTATTAATGATAATTGCAATTTCACAGGTTAATGATCCTCCTTGTCACCTTGTTGACCATTTATGACCATTATGAGGGCCACATTTGGCTTGCCATGAGTTTGACATCCCTGGTTTAAGGATTGGCTTTACAGATAAGAGAAGGTGTTCAATAAATAGCAAAAATCTTCGGAATTTTGATTATCAATATAAAGTTATGTATGTGTGTATATATAGATGTTTCTTTTTCTACATCAGATCGACTTGACAATCATCATCATTGATAAGCTTCTGCCGACCTTAATCAACCACCTGGACAGTTATGTGGAAGGGGGTCGACGAGTGCGAGGGAACACATCTCAGGAGGCAGCTGTCATCCAGTACCTGAAGGCTGGTGGAGGGCTGCACCGAGCAGTTAAATCAAGGGAGGATGAGGCGGCGTACCTCAGGGGGGTCATTGGCACGGTCATCCCCTACTTGCTGCCGACCAAGTACCAGGCTAGCAGGTTTGTATGATCTAAGGAAGTTTGATAGATTTAAAGATTTACAAGATTTATAGAAAGTGTAATTGACAGATAGTGTAGAAACATGGAAAGACTCAATTTTAACCCGCAGCCTGGCCCGAGCCTTCTTGGAGGAACTGTTAGGGCGGGTGCTGCTTCTGCAAGCGATGGACCTCTTGGCCAGCCCAGACACTCTCAACCTCTTGTTCCTGCTGCTGCTGAGTCGGGATTCTTCACCCTGGCTGCCTCACAAGCCCGAGCCAGAGGTCCTGCTGCTCAAGAACTTTGCTTCAGTCAATACCCACCCTCGCAACTCCGTAAGTCTCTGAGGAGCCCTTGTGTTGTAGCTCGGACCTGGTAGCATTATTGTCGTTGTCTATAGTTGAGGAATACTGTTTGTTTCATTTGGAAGGTATGCTATATTTTTATATTACTCTTTATGTTCCTGTTATCATTTGTTCTTGTGTTATTTTCAATTGTGTAATACCTCAGTGAATATATTTGTTTGTTTTGGTTTCCTTGGAAGAAACGACTTGCACTGGCATAATTTATTTTGTTTTATTTAGAAGTGTGAATTGCATCAATGAATTTATATTTGTTTATTTATTCTTTTTGATGTTAACCGATATACATGAGTCTTTATAACATAACATCTTTCAGGTCTTGAGGAGCAACCTGTCTTCTGTGTTGAAGGATCAAAATCTCCTTTATTTATTCCACTCTTTCCTGAAGGAGGAAGGAGCTATCAATATTCTGCAGTTCTGTCTAGCTGTTGGTATGTGGCTAACTTATCACAGTCTTACAATACTCTTTTCTACAAACCCTGATTATACTTATCACCTAACCTCATGTAATTGGACCCTATTCACAGTCTCTCTCTGCTTTGCTCATCTCAGTGCAGTTCAGTACCAAAATTCACACAGCCTGAATTCAACTAACCCAATCTCACATATGAGTCACTCGTGTCAATCTGAGTTGACTCATTTAACTGTGCGATTTCATTCCATGTTCTGCCTTTGTGTAAAAATGAATAAAAGTGAACAGACGGGTATTGAAGGTGGGATGCATTTCCTCATTCACTCATTTGTATATCCTGTTTTTAGAGGACTTCAACCGCCACATCCTGGACCCTGACTTGACCCCAGAGCAACTTGAACAGTTCCATCACGAGGCTTTAGAACTCTACCACACATACATGGTGTCGTCAGCTGTTGACAGGATCAACTTCCCATCACATATAGTTTCACATATAAGAGAAAGTAAGTTTCTCTCTCTCTCTCTCTCTCTCTCTCTCTCTCTCTCTCTCTCTCTCTCTCTCTCTCTCTCTCTCTCTCTCTCTCTCTCTCTCTCTCTCTCTCTCTCTCTCTCTCTCTCTCTCTCTCTCTCTCTCTCTCTCCCCCTCCCCCCCCTCTCCCTCCCTCCCTCCCTCTCCCCTCTCTCCTCTTCTTTCTTTTCCTTTTTTACAGAAGAACAATATCTTGGTATTTTACTTTTGTATTTTCAGTCTGAGTGATATAATGAGATAAAACCAAATCATCAGCAATTTACATTATAAACCTCCTTTTCCAGTTGTGCATGGGGAAGTGGGGGACATAGTGAAACTACGCACAACTCGACCACTCTTCCAGGCATACGAACATGCTTATAATCTCTTAGAGAGAGAATATCTGCCTCTGTTCATGCACAGTCATGCGGTAAGGAGACTATCCATGTAGTTGTGTAGGTAGCTTAGATGACTTGGATATAGGGAATTATTTAAGTCATATAAATGATTAGATGGATTCCTTATTGGTACTTGGATTTTTTAATTGAAACTTCAGAAGTGAAACACTTATATAGAAGCCTTAGATGATTAGGTCATTAAGAAAAAATATGTATATATTTAAAATAAGGATAACAATGAATCTGCACAGTATTAGATATTAATCAATATTTGCTAGTGAGATGTGCAGTTATTTCTACTTACTTCCAGTGTTTTTACTGTACCATTAATGAGAGCACAGATCCTGTAATTTGTGGTGTTTTGAAAGTTTGATAATCTGCTTGATTTGTAGATATGGTAAGAGCTGCCATTTCATTCAAGATTGTGAAAACAGTTATTCCAAATTCATGTCAGATATGATTACTAAACTTTGGTGTAGTTCTTACTGTTTTATTGTTATTTCTTTAAGCTGACTGTAAAACTAATTACAGGCTCACAATATTATAGCTGTTCCAGTATGGTCCTGCCATAAAGATATTTTTTCCATCTCTTCTTTCAGTATTTTGCTCACCTATGTGGGACAAGAAGCTCCCAAGGTTACCAAAAAAATGCAACCAAGTAAGTAATGTCCGTCTTTTTTTTTAGATTGTTGCTGTAATTGAGAATTAGACTAAGTTTGTTTTGCATATTTAGTATTCACTGAACAAAGTAAGATAAAGAAAAAATCTTTAACAAAATGTGATTGGAAAATTTTGTAGGTTTTAGGAAAAGGAAGGAAAAATAATAATTTGGGTAGAAAAAAATGATAATAAGGGGTTATAACACTAGGATACATCTTTTGACCCACAGATACAAATGCTGGATCTAAACCTTGTATATAGCATTATTACTTTATTCCACGGCTTGTATGGTTATTGTTTAGTACTTGAATAGGTGTTTCAACCCATTTCTATTTGCAACAACTGCTCAGTGATCCGAGTAAATACTAAGATCTTCGTGGATGTTTTGTTTACAAGATACTAAATACAATGGATTACTTTCATACCTCTTCCTTGAAGCGTCATCCTAGCTTTGATTTTGCGTGGATGTGGTTAAAGAAAATAGTGATGTAACTCAGACTAATACCTCACATGTGGGTTATGTGGTGAGTGGTTATTCTGGGAACTGCATGCTCTGGTTGCATCATTTTTTTCTGTTATTTTCCAATCAAATGAAAGTAATTTTTTTTTTATTTGTTTAAATGCACTCTTAACTTAGAAAAAAATCAAGTGAGAAAAGACAAGAATTTATGTATGTTCTTTTATTTGTTGCATTTGTTTGTTTGATGTAAGCATTTATGAAGATGTGATAAGGCACAAGAATATCAGTAATAACACAGTGGTGACCGTTCCACAGAATTGGGTGTAATATGAGTTTCTCATTTAGAAATACCTTTATTGTGGAGATTTCAATGCAGTGGATTTATTTCATGGTAGATAAGAAATAGATATGGTTTTGACAGTATTAGTATATATGTGTAAGGAATAGATATTTTAAGAATATTGAGTTTTGAGAGTATTAGGATATTGGTGTACACTCCCTAAAAAAAGTATCTTTACTTTTTATGAATTAACAATATAATACAATGATGAAAACAGTGGGGAAAAAGTGCTATGAACTTGACCTGTTATTGGTATCCTTGCTCACATTATATTACATATGGTGCAGATAATGTAAGTACTGATTAAATTCCATGGCAGTGATGATGACGTCTGACAATGCAATTAGACTGAAGAAGAAAAATTAAGGGTTTTGAAATGTATAATACTTTTAATATTTCGTATTGCCCCCACCAGCTTAGCAAACGCTGGCAAATCTATGTGGAATGGATGCCACTATCACCCGTGTTAACTGGCATCTGGGTGCAATGTGCAATTGCTCCCAAGCCATAATTGCTTGGGCATTGATGATCTGAAGATTGCTGGTATGTCTGGGTAGCCCATAGCTACTCAGACATTCTTAATGAAATTGAAATTAAGATCTGGTGATTTGGGGTGGATGTGGCACCTCATAATCTTACGGTGTTGCCACAATCTTTCCGTCACGACACTGCTGGTGTTGATAGGACTGTTATCCTGGATGAGGTAAAATGGCTTCAGCTCAGAGAACACCATGGCCATTACCAACGGTAGAAACACCCTGCCTAGGATTTCCACATAGGCAGACCTCATAAATCTGCCAGGCCCAACATCCACCCAAACAACCCAGCAGTTTCTAACAGTCCTGAACAAGGTAAAATGGCTCCAGCTCGGGGAACGCCATGGCCCTCACTGATGGTAGAAACACCTCATCCAGGATTTTCACGTATAGGGATATGGTTGGCTTTGGATTATCTAATTGTCTCCATATTTCAGTTTATAGTACCTCAGAGTAAAGCACATTTATTGCATTATGGATTGTCTGTGAGGCTTCCATTGCAATTAAAACACATTATGAAGCTTCACCTGTTCTGAGCTTTGAAATCAAGAAGTACCAACCACTTTGGATCAACTCCAACCCATTGTTTCAGTTTCATCTGCTCTCAAGTAAAGATGTTTTTTCTAGTGACTGTACCTGTCAGTTGTGTTGAATAATTATATGCATATATTAATATATATATATATATATATATATATATATATATATATATATATATATATATATATATATATATATATATATATATACATATATATATATATATATATATATATAATATATATATATATATATATATATATATATACTTGCATAATGGAACTAATGGTAGTAATCTGGGACCATTTGATATTTAGTGACTGATATAAGTATGAAATTGTGCAGAAACTCAGCATGCAGAAGCAGACATGTAAAGGCACACTAGTGGAAACAAAAGTGCATGCCAAATATGTATGTGAAGTGAGACTCTGGATTTATTGCCTGAAGAATCTATAGGATGTTTCAGTATTGGGATGTTTTTGGTCTCGATACTAGTATTTTCACTGTTGTTTCTAATAGGTATTATTCTGAGTTTACATAAGAATCTGTTGATTACAAGAAACAAAAAGACATTATTATCTTTATTGATATTATTTTTGTTTTTTATTTTTTATTATTATATCTCTTCTTTTGGGGGGGGGGGATATTACTTTAGAAATGAGATATATAGAGCAGGCTTTAGCCAGGATTCTCCATTAGTGATTCGAGCATTCTTGTCACAGTACGATTGCTTCAAGAGTTACATGTGTGTGATTTTGTTTTCTCATATAAGGTTTTAGTCAGAAAGAAGAGTGTTCACTGATTGGCTAATGTAATTCGTAATACACTAAAGTGGCAGAGTAGTGTAAGTCTATTAGTCATGAATCTCAAATAATATACATCTGAAGCACAGATGGGGAACCATGGACTAATATCTTGGGCTTTTTGGAAAGCTTAGTGCCATGCAGTTTGAAGAATTACATGGCATGCAATGGCCATAATGTCAGGACGAATTTTACTCTGATCAGATTTAATATTCTGGAATGGACTGAAGACCCCACTCTTAGACTGCACTAACCACTAGCCTGTGTGTTCAAAATAGAAAGCATCAGCCCATGAGATCATCTCTGACAGAATGAGAGGTCTGTGATTGATTGCTTAATTCATTCTTTAAAGGGTTCCAAGTTGATGGTTAGAGACCTGAAATATAGCACAAGGAATTTGTGATTGTTGCTGTGAAATCTTAAAGATTTTCTTGGCCTGCAACCATGCAGTTATAAAGAATGCATTCATTCTATGGTTCTCTTTGTCTTTGTCTTTGCTTTTGTCTTCTTCCTCTTCCTCTTTATCCTTATCATTCTCTTTCTTTCTCTGCCTCTGTTTCTTTCTCTTTCTGATTCTACTACTTTCATAATTAGCAAAGGGAGACCTTTTTTTTTTTTTTTTGACTCATGAAGGAGATACATCATGTGATGTGAAAAGTGGAGAAATCTTTTAAAGGAGTATTTTATAGGAATATAAATTTTTAAAAAGTTTGACCTGGGTTGATGACATGTTATTTTTCTTTTTTATCTTTTATTGTAGGTTTTGATTGCATTTGGTCTCTGCTCTGTTCATTGCTTTGTTTTTGGGTACAATGGGGGCATAAGGGTATTTTAAAGGCTAGATAAGCAATATGGTATTCATTTGATATTATGTATTTATGTATCTTTAATTACGAGGATTACGATGATATGGTACTCGGTTCTAAGGTAGTCCGATTTTCCCTTGTTTTCATTTCTGTGTCCTGATTTGACATTATTTTGTGATACAGAAAATGTATGTTTTTTTTTTTTACATTTTGATTTGTATTACTAATAAGGATAATTCTTATATTTTGAATGAGTAAAGATATTACAAAATTCTCTCTCCAATTGGCAGCTCTCCAGGGAAAAGCAGGTATTATAATTTTGTTTATTTTTGCATTGATATATTGTTTGTGT